TGAGGCCAAATGATTTTTGCAGGCTTTGGAAAAATCATTTTGCAAGCCTGGCAGTCGCTTTGTTATGTCAAACATGACATGGGTCACAGCCATATGAGCTATAGTCCAAACTCCTTAAAAGTGGGTTATATAGGGCATTATATAGGGGACTATTATAGGGGATACTAAGGGGGATACTAGGAGTTTAGACAATGGCTCATATGGCAACTTATGTTTTTTCAAAGCACTACCATGTCTCTTATTGGGACTTCAAAAGGGCCCCTAACTCTTGGAAACTGGGAAGGCCACAGTTGGGGTTTAGAGGTATAGGGGTTCCCCAAAATGCCAGAGTTGCCTGTGGAACCCAATCCCTTGCCTCACAGGCAACCAAATGTATCTTTGTACTCCCCCCCAATATCCCCAGGGTCCTAAGACGTAAGGGCCCGCGATTTTTGAGAAGCCTCACATGACAAGAAGCGACAATATGTCGCGGAATCTTATAGGTTCGATTGTGCAACTATCGGCATGGCACCATATGGCACTTTTTTTGGAGTTTCCCCTATATTTCAATGTGACAGGACCCTGCTGACTGGCGAGACTGGATCCGAACAAAGCGGCCCGTCCTCCCGACACCTTGAGCTTTGCAGACCTCGAGTTTTCTAGGGTTTTGAGGATGAACCCTAAACCTGAAGTCCTACACCCTTAACCTTGAACCCTATACCCTAAACCCTAAGCCTCAAACCCGAAACCCTAAACCCTAGACCTTCAACTCTGAAACCTAAATCTTAAACCGTAGAATTTGAGGATCTTTTGGGTTGCAGGGGTTTATGATTGAGGGCTTCGGGAAGCGGAAAGAGACCAGAGCAGCGTGCGTCGGGGGAGATTCCCAGTCAAACGAGCTGGGGTCCTCGCGCAGCATTCGGGTTTAGGGTATAGGCTTTCGGCTTTAGGGCTCAGGGTTAGGGTTCAGGGTATTGGGTCTAGGGTATAGGTAGTATACCACCCAACAAGGATCCCATTCACAGCGACCTGCCCAGAGGACCCCTTGTAAGGAGCTTTCTGACGAAGCTGGGCACGAAGACACTTGAGTTACAATAGTTGCCAACCCTAAACCCTAAACCCTATCAATATTTCCATGAACCCTAAGTCGATTTGGGGATTTCCCAAAATTAGGGGTACCTTTTTGGGGGTCCCTATAATAAGGACTATAGTATATTGGGGTCCATATTGGGGTACCCCTTATTTTGGGAAACTACCATTTCAGTTCTAGTACAATGTAGTCTACGACCTGATGTCGTTCAAATTTGTTTAGCCCGAGACACTGTGCCGCAGTCCAACACCGTACGTTACTTTAGCAGTTTAGGCCCCTGCAGTACCTTTAAATCCTAAACCCTCCTAAGCCCTAGAACCCTAGAACCCTAAACCCTAAACCTACTGATGAGCTATTCCGGAATTGATTTGCTATTGGCAGGTCACGGCAAGGCCTGCCCGACGGGGCGACTCCAAGGAGCATCAGCTGTAGGCTTTCAGGTTTAGGGTTGGGGGTTCTAGGGGTTATATAGGGTTTGGGGTTTAGGGTTCAGAGTTTTAGGGTTTAGGGTCTAGGGTTCAGGGTTTAGGGGTTTAGGGTTTAGGGTGCTTGTATAGGAATTCTGTACTGGCTTGATATGGTTGACAGAGGGATCGCATAGGGATTACGGAGGGCTGTACAGGGATTCTATCGAGATTATACAGGGATCGCATAGATATTATATAGGGCTGTATGGGGATCATACAAGGATTATATATTTATATGGATCATATAGGGATTACGGTTTACTTGGTTGTTGTTAGTAGGGAGTGAAGGAATGGAAATGCACACGGAAATTGATGAACTATCCGGGGTTATGTAGGTGCTACTTTAGGGTACGGTTGATACCAAAAAACCTGACCCAAAGTTCCTAATAGCTTTGGAATCATCGCGTTGCAGTTTAGCAGGGTCATGCAGGGGTTCTCGTGTTACGTAACAATAGTAGTAATAGTATGAGAGCCATTGTCTGGGCCATAGCCATAGCAGTGTGGTTATAGTATTGTAGTCATAGCAGTGTAGCATTCTTAGCCACAGTGCTGGCGCTAAATAGCGTTGGTTCTTAACATGTCAAAGCAGTAGCCATATCATGCACAGCAGAATTGGCGCCGGTGGCAATTGTTCCAGTGGCATGCAATAACTGAGGTGGGGGACACGCTCTCATGCTGGTGGCGATGATAGCAGTAGAAATAGCCGTGCGAGGAACGTGAGGGGTAGTGATGATGATCTATAGTCGCCCTTAAGTAGATAGAATATGGGGTACATGGGGATCTCATTATAATATACCCAAAGCCATATTCTATCTTCTGAAGGGGGACTATAATCCCTAAACCCTAAACCCCACATAAGGGGAGGGGGACTATACCACTTCTGTGCTTGCAGTACTTCTCTTAGTGTTGTGGCATTGCGAGGATCCGATGACTGGGCCCGGGCCCAAGGGCCCGGGCGGGAGGAGTTTCCCACAATTGGGGGTACCATTTTTGGAGATTCCCCTAGTAAGGACCAATAGTATTTTGGGGTCTAAGTTGGGTTCCCCCTATTTTGGGAAACTACCATATATGTTCCGACATATCCGATATATGTCTGCATATCCCGGTATATCCCTCATTCCCCTTGTTGGAGACCTATCGCAATGGTTTATTCTTTATTTCCCTTCGCGGCTGGTTCCAAGGTAGCAGCCCTCCACCCTGAATATCCTAAACCTTACACCCTGAACCCTAAACCTTGAACCCTAAAACTTAAGCCTTAAACCTGAAACCCTGAAACTTTAAACCCTCAATCCTAAATCTCCTAAACCCTAAACCCTGAGTATCCTAAACCCTAAGTCCTAAACCACTGGGCCTCTGAGGTTAGCCGGATCACCTGTGGGCCCTGCCATGACAGCGGTTCGGTCTGCCAGGCCGCAGACCTACAGCCCACTGGTATAGTCCCCTTTAAGTAGATAGAATGTAGGCAAGAGGTTTTAGGGTCCCCTTAAGTAGATAGAATATGGAATTGGGTATATTATAATAGGATCCCCCATAGGTTGATAGGACTTGGGGTTTAGAGTCTTTTTGTTGAGGCGTTAGGGGCTTAGCGTTCAGGGTTATTGGGTTTAATGGGTGTGGGGTTTAGTGTTTAGGGGTCTTGGGGTTTAGAGTGGCCTCCTTTTGTGAGTGCTTCTTGACAGCAATAAAGATTGCTGGTGCCCAAGGCCAGCTTTAGGTTTTAGGAATGGAAAACATGGAAACCACAGGTACCACTGAAGGGTTCAGGTTTTGATACTGCAATGTAGGGTTTGGGCAGGAACCTAACATGGAAACAGCTACAGGGTTGAGGGTTTCATAACCCCGCCAGTAGCGGTGACTAAAAACCGCAGCACAGTAGAAGTTGCAGAGGCGATAGCAGTGGTCTTAGGGAAACTGAGCCACTCATGATCACAGTATAGGGTTTAGGGTTTGGGGGTCTAGGGTTTAGGGTTTAGGGTTTAGGGTTGGGAGTTCAGAATCCAACCCTCAACCCTAAATGACAAGCTGAGGCCTGGATCAGAGCGTGCTGAGCCGACTGTGTGAGCCGAGGAGGGGTTGCTGGTCATATGGTGGGTTGGATAGGGATTAAAGAGGTTGAGGGTTTAGGGTTTAAGTTGTACAGGAGATTATGGAGAGTCTAGGGGTCAGATAGGGGACTCTAGGGAATATAGGGGGTTAAATAGGGGATTACACGGATTATAGGGGTTAATATAGGGGAGTATAGGGAGTATAGGAGGTTTTACATGGGATTATAGAGGGGTTTATGTACGGATGGTGCGCAAGAACATAGAAACAAGTGTATTGTGGCTACAGCACGCAGCTCACCACTAGCTCTATGCAGGAGATTTTGATCATGACCAGCGCCCGTCAGCTTGGGCGAGCAGGAGTTCCCCTTAGACAGAACATGGGGTATAGGGGGATCTTATTATTATAAGATACCCCAACACCATATTCTATCTACTTAAGGAGAGTGTAGGAGTTCCGGTGCTGTTAAACAGCTTGCCAAGACTCCTGGAACGCAGCAGAATCCGTTTGGCTTGCGCGCGAATACCTGCGCAGCAAGCGTGTAAACGTCATGAGACCGGTGCTGGCGCCTAAGTCTGGCATCTCACTGGTCTTCTCCACCGGAGAGCCGCAAAACGAAAAAGTGCTTGAACTGCATCAGGGCTGATCTTGAGCAAGTCTTCAACCTTGCTATTGCCGTTTCTTCTGCGGAGCTTCTAGTTTTTCTGTGCATACTTGACAACAGCCGCTCAAGTGCACAGGAACTTAGGTGTCATAAGATTATGTAGGATAGCAGGGAAGGTCCTAAAGCTCAGGGTCTCCTTATCAACAGTGACTAATTAGACTCCAGCCCGCAGTCGCAGTCGGTTGCTGCTTCCAGAGCACCCGGGCAGGTGAAAAAAGAAGAATTGCCAAGGAAGGGAGGCCAAGAAGCGGCGCCAGAAGCAGAAGAAGAAGCTCAAACGCGATCGCAAACACGAGCAGGAGTAAGTGTGCGTAACCACCTTCCCCCAATAATACTAAAGACTTATCACCTGCTACAAGGTAGTGCTGCTATGGGATGAAACCGATGATTATGAGGGTTGGTGGGATGTTCATTTTACATTTACCATGGTAGCGGAGCTGGTCGACTAGACCAGTGGCCCCGTGTGAAAACTGTGTGACCCTTTATCTTGGGATGGCCACTTTGAATGGCGACTAGCAGCTTTGACTGGCAAACAGATAGGCAGAAGAGCGAAAGCTTGAGGGAGGGAAGGTGGTCAAAGGGATCAGGTATATAAGGGAGCGGCCAAGCCAAGCCGGACTTTAGCACAGACAGAAACACGCGAGTGCTAACCCTAAACCCAGCGCACCGGTCTGACTGCTCGACAGCCAAGAATTACAGTTGGCCCCGGCGGTCAAAACAGCCACCAAGCGAGGGCGAAGACAAAACGAAGCCCACAGGAAGCATCGGATGTTGTCAAGAAGCAAGCAAAGCTCCAAGGATTGAAAGCCACCTTAAAACAGGATGGAAGTTTCCGCAAAAAAGTGGGGATCCGGAAAAGGGTCCGAAGCCTATTGACGAAGGGCACAGCAGGCTCTTTGAGGAGCTTGACCTTGATCATGAGAGTGGATGTTAAAGTTGCTGCTCCCGCAGACGAAAGTCAACTGCTGCGGCGAAGCGCGCGGCAGTGGCGTGGCCAGGAACAAGCGCCGAGCCATTTCAGGGCGGACCAAGCGATGTCCGCAGCTCAGGCAGTGAAGAGAGCTCCAGCAGCCTCCTGGAGGTCAAAGTGATCTGCCACAGATCCAGTGGAGAGCCAGGTGACATCCCTGACAACCCTGAGGCCCCGGAGTCCACAGGGCTCTCTTCCAAGGGTTGGTTCAGGGATCGAGGCTGCGCGCACAGACGTACAAAACGTGCAACAACAGCAACCCCAGCATCCGCAGCAACTGCGCAGAGAGCTGACTGTGTTTTTCCAAATGCTCAGGGAGCACTGGCAGGCAATGCAGTATATGCAAACGCAATTGTCGACTTGCAACAACAGATGACTGCGCAACAGGGGCAAGTTGTTCAAGCAAACTATCAAGCACAGAAGCAGGTACAACAGACGCCACAGCCCGGGCAACATGTGGGAACTGCCGCCCGCCGAGGAGCGGTGCATCCCAAGTTGCTTCCTAGACCACGCCGCGGTCTCTTTGTAAGGTTGTGTTCACCCGGTCAAATGGAGTGGATGACACGTGCGTGACCACGATGGAAAGAGTTAATGATCACATCACTGAGGTTGAAAATTTCGACTTGGATGTTGGGAACAAAAAATGTCGGTGGGTTTAAGGTTTAGGGTTTAGGGTCATTGAAGGAGACGAGCCATCAACTCGGGCCATCAACAGCCAATTCCTATGAAACAGAGGATGGTATGGAGTTGCGGAGACGACTGCGTAAAGAGTACGTTTTAAGTAGCAGCGCAAAAAAACACAGGAATGACGACTTCGACTCTGAATTTGCAGATGCGCTGATGCGGTGGGAGGCCGAACTGAGGGCCTATGAAAGGGAGACTGGGAAGACGCTTGACAAAGATACGGCCACCGTCGTGCTACATGTCGAAAACCTGAATACAAAGGACAAGCTGTGGCAGTCCGTTGAGAACTACCTGTCAGCTAAGAAAAGGTTGCAGACGCTTAGTGGTAAGGGACCGATACATCATATGGGCCATAGTCTAAACGCCTGGGCCTAGTCTCCCCCTGAATAACCTCTGTATTAGTTCTATGTACTCCCCTATATAGCCCCCTAATTAAGGAGTTTGGGCTAGAGTCTCTAGCTTAGGGTTTAGGCTTTTGGACTTTAGGTCTGGGGTTTCAAAAGCGATTGAGTTTGGGGCCTTGGGTGTAGGGTTTCAGGTGCAGGGCTCAGGGGTGTGACGCACACCCGCCATGGTAGTTGTACCAGAGACGGGCGGATCTGGTGGCATCTGGCCCGTGGCAAGCAACAGCCGCTGCTTGAAGCGCGAGCGCCTACAAGCGTTCTGCAACTCGCTCGCGAAGATCGATGCGGAAGGCTCCGAGCTCCTCCTGTTGGCGCAGCCTCGCGAGTGGGAGCGGGTGCGCGTGCTTATCTTCGAGTTTTCGGCAGCTCGCTGTCGGAAGCACTCCTGCTTCATGACGTATTCTCTGAGCCACGGGTTTTGGGTTTCAGGTTTATGGTTTAGGGTCGGTATTCTCAGGCTCTATTAAGAACAAACACATACCGTTGATCCTGCATGACCTTCTTAAACTGCAGTAGTATGACTGCCGCGGTGCAAGGGGAGGGGGGGGAGGGTAGGGTCATGTGGCATAGCATCAACTGTAGCTCTGGGCATATGGAGGCCCAAGCTTAAGGTCAAACATACGTTTGGCAACCCGTCCACTGTAACAGTTGGATACAGTAACATTCAGAATATGAGCCATTGTCTAAACTCCTAGTATTACCCTTAACAACCCCTATAGTACTCCCCGATATAATCCCATGTATAACCCCTTTAAGGAGTTTAGACAGTATGCCATTGTGATCTTTTTATACTCTGTATCGTAAGATCCCCAAGCCTTGTTGAAATCGATTAAATTTACCACCTACAGTATGCAGTTTGTGCTCGTCCAGCAACACAGGCGTACTGATATCATTTGCTAACGTCACAAATGGCTCAAAATACTTACGGTCGCAGGACTTGCAGGCTGAGGTCTTCAAAGACGAGGGGGTCGCCCTCACCAATACACTCTACACCATGACGGCTAAATCGTACTTGGTTTCGGCTTTTCGCTTTTTTGGTTGAGTTTAGGCATTTAAAGCCTGCAAGAGCATGCAATTTGTTGCAGCAATCTTCATCCTCTGACTTGAAACCAAGGTCATCACCCTTAAGGTAGAAACTTGTTATGTTTTATCATCCGTATTTGAGACAGGAATAGCCAACCCGCACAAGATTGAAGAAGATATTCCCAACATAATGTTTGTTTAATCCCGGCATGTCACATAGACCCCTTATCACCCCCATACAATCCCTACTTATCCCGTACAGTCGTAGTATAAACTAGTAAGCACACTTGTAACCGTAGGACAAGACCCTAAACCCTAAACCCTAGACCCTAAACCCTAGACCCTAAACCCAAAACCCTAATCTGCAAAGCTTGAGCCATGGTTTTCCGCTGAGATGCGAGGCCCTCGGTTTCCTGGCCTTGTCCACAGGCCTGCTCTGAAATTCATCTGAAGAAGCCATATGAGCTATAGTCTAAACTCCTTAGAGGGGTTATATAGGGGATATATAGGGATATTACCCCAATAATGGAGAATCATATGGAAAGAAAATGAAAAAATCAATGGAAACTGGGGGGAATTTATGGGGATTAGGGCTTATTTTGAGCTTTAGTCTACACTCCAAAAACTCCATACAGCGGGGGTATATAGGGGATTATATAGGGGAGTATTAGAGGGGCGAGTAAAGGGGAGGGATAGTAGGAGTTTAGACTATAGCTCGCATCCCCTTCCCCTTAAAACACATGTCCCCTACATGTCCCTTACATAGTACCAAGCCAGAAGCGTTGGAATACCTCACAGCCAGAGAATATGACTGTGAGGGACATATAGGGATTATATAGGGTTTAGATAAGGTCTAGGTGATTAAATAGGGATTATGCAGGGAAGATCTACTTTCGCTCAGTTATAGTCCCCCTTAAGCAGATAGAATAGTAAATTGACCAATCTTATGATAAGATCCCCATATACCAAATTCTATCTATTTCAGGGGGGCTATAGCCCCTAAACCCTAAATAGTAGTTTCCAATTTCTTTTCCATTATCCCACTATAACCCATATAGAACAATATTAGGGGGGACTTGAGGTTGTGGCGATCAGCGGCCCTGCATCGGCAGGCCCTCTGGGCCAGGGTGCGGCAGGCGACGCAGGCTCAGCTTCCAATTCTGCTGGGCTTGTGGTGATGTCTGGTCCTTAAAAGATGGTTACTACCATGATATAATCCCTATAATATATTTCCGATGTAACCCTACATAATCCTTATACTATATGCATGACC